GAACACATTTTTTTACTTCTACAGAGAGATCTATGGTAGCTTCAATAAAGCCGCCGTCCTTAAAACTAATTATTTTTAATTGTAATTTTATAAAAATATTTTAGCATCTATTTGTAACACTTCGTAAATATACTTATTCTCGTTGTTTTGTGAAATCAATCAATAAATAAAGATTGTTTTTCTGTATTATATATTGTGTTCAGTCTTTCTCTGTTTCGCAACTCAATCGGTCAAAAAATTTGGATATATTTTCGCAAAAATATTTTCTGCCGATCCTACCCGATTGCTCTAATGGGAAATCAGTGTATCTGAGACTACCACACTAACAACTGCCCATGGGATATGTCAGCCGTCTTACCCAATTTCTTAAGCTATACGTCTGTACGACAAATTGGAAAATGTTGTATCCAGGAGCGCAAATGATAATAATAAAGAAAAAAAAAAAGACCGGTGCTATTGGATTCATGAAGTAAAAACAACCAATATTCTAGAATTACCTAGAGGCTTGTAAGCTACTGCAGTGGCGACATCTAGTAGTCAGAGAAAAACATTCTCTGAACAAAAATTGAAAATCAAAGAACTAAAAGATTTGGCAATTTAAAATCATCATAATTTATAGCACTAAAGTTCTTACAAGATTTAGAATATATTACTTTTATTTGTTCAACAACAAAGACCTTTAAAGCAGTTATTATCAATACTAGTAAAATAAATTACTGCACACACAATTTAAAGTGATATTTTCAAAACCGACCACACTGTTATCTTCATTCACTAACTAGGAAATATTAAAAAAGTCCTCCCTTCGATTCATAACTACTAAATTATAACCAGAAAACATTTAGTTGTTCCGAAACTCGTTCTACGGAATTATATCGCTTTTAATCGGATTTCGATACCCGTGGTGGGCACAGCATAAATAGCCCATTGTGTAGCTTTGTGCTTGACAACAATCAAACAAAAGGGGATGAAAACGAAAGTCGTATTGGTAAATTATATTTTTCTCTTGTAAAGTTAGTAGCCAAAACTTAAATAACAATCAAATGACATTTAAAAAACGTGTATACTATTAGATAAACATTCGTTAAATTAACATTCATAATATTTTGAGAATAACAAATATCAATGTAATCATGGCATACAGAATATGAAAAGGTACTTTGAAGTATTTAACAAAGAAATTACCACCAGAAGATATGCCGCTAAAAGAGAAAATTGGATCTTTCCCAATTACATCCATGACATACTAAAAATTTAGGTTATTTTCACTGGAAATTCCTGCTGTTGTAACTATTTATGTACTTAAAACTAGTTAAACAATTTTTCAAATATTATAATCTTAATAAACAGTAACTGGCCAATTGAAGTACTGCAGAAAAACGAAATAAAGTTAGCCATTAATAAATGGTAAGAGACACTAGCTGGCTTTTTTGAAAGGTTTATTGCACGCAAAAGTTAGATATTCGGAAATAGTAATGGGTACTACTGAAATAACTGATCTCGATGGCCTATTAAAGTGCAAACTACAAAAGTTACAAGCTAGTAAAAGTTCGAAATGGACAACTTAAGAGTAATGTGCAGTTAAAAAGATCGGCATTTAAATTCTTTTTATAGCAATTTTAGGCCTATTGGTTTTTCCAATATTTCGATGGTTCTCGTCGTTTGAACCGTAGTTTTTAAAGTATTATATTACTTATATAAATAACGTTTCATAGCATCTTTTGTCTTTCATTGTTCAGCCACTTTCATAAGTTCTGGTCTTGAACGAAAAACTCACTGGGCAATCACTTATGGGGGGCAAAAAGGTAGTATGTATTGTTATTGTTGTAAGCCAAATTTTTAGAGATTTAATTTAGATGTTAGCTAAAGTAAGCACAACGTTAAGATCGAAAAGTTTATAAACGTGGGCCTAGAATATCTAGAAAACTCCAAATATGACGTCACGAAAATCTGGTAAATTTGTGGGTTATCTAGAAGTGAAGCATCATATATACATACTTTGTAGGCCAGTCAGTATGCTAAACTAGCAGTGAATCAGCCCGTTTTGTTTTCCGTTAGTAGATTGTCAGTTTTAGTGAAGTATTTGGATCAGTGCTAGTTATCGCGTATGTTCAGTTACCTGATAGGTGAAATTGTACAAGCAAGTTTATTTTTACGTTAGTTTTAGTACCATTAGCAATGTCTTTCCGTTTGAGTGTCATTTGTAAAGTTACGTCTACAAATTACAACAGTATACAAGTCTAAGCAGCTTGAACAACCGTTAAGAAAAAAGAAACTAATTTGTTATCATTATATGGATTCTGGACTTGGCCTTATTTTCATCAAATAATTTAAAAGAATCAGCCCGGCGAAACTAAAATGTTACAATGCTACTTTTAAAACATTTGATTTAGAGCCACAATGGACAAACAAAGAGGAAAGTGAGAAGAAAACATCTGCAGTTAAAACTTATTTATTTATAACACTTTTAGACTTCTTAGTCTTCTAATATTTTACTAGCTTTCAGCGTTTGAACCTTGACATTTAAAGTTATAGATTTTGTTAAAAGGTATTATTGGGTGGTCCCTGAAATGTTTACTATAGAAAACACAAGGTAAAGCTCAATGTTGTTGAATGATAAAAGGCATCAGCTGGTCTCTTGAAACTTGCTCCAAAAAAACAAAATAACTTATATTTTGGTAAAAGGTAAGAGACAGTGGTTAGGCAATTGAAGTGTTTACCACAGATAAACAAGATAAGTTATATGTTGGTGAATTGTAAGAGAGACTGGTTAGCCTACTGTAGTTTATAACCATATTTTTAGTAGACGGTGTTTTGGGTTGGAATTCTTGAGCAGTTGCAGAAAGATGTGTGGCTGGTTTAATCTTTACATGTAATAATTCGTTTTCCATATGTCTTATTCTGTCAATTAATTTTATGTAAATTTGTCCTTGATATTCTTTAAATTCTTCCTTATCTTCAATTTCTCAAAGCTTTCTTCTTGATTTTTAATTTTCTTTCCCTTTCTTCTGAATTTCTGTCATTTTTACTGGTCTTCTTTTAATTTTCTATATTTTTCTTCTTGACCTTGTCTTAATAATTCCATCATCTAAATTAATGCTTGGATCACTCTACTTGACCCCATGGTTGCCATTTTCAACAGCTGAAATTTAATCAAAATTCTATTTTACTTTCACCAAATAATCCCACTTCTGACACTACTATAGTATCATAGTTTTTTCATTGTCAGGTTTTCAAATGATCTGGCAAAAATAATTCAACGTCCAGTCAACATAACGATAACTACTACTTCATTTCCTCTATCAATATTTCTACAAACTTGATAACTTGTAAACTGCCATAAGCTGCTGAAGGCCTACATTATAAACGACGTAAGTTATTGAAAAACAAGTCAACTTACTCGTACAAAGTAACCATGATAGCTAACACACTGACTGGTTCACTCTCTATCACGAAATTAGCCTCCACACTTCACAACTATCTCATATTTTTAAATCTCACTTCGAATGTACTAAGAGTACTTTACGTCACATCTTTCTGATCTTAATATCATCATTAATATTTACAGCCCCTTTAACATTTCAATTACAAAAGCAAATTATAGCTTACAATATAAGGATAAATTCTTGAAACTTTCCAGTTAATCTATTGTGAACCAAGGATGAATCTATTATTGCAAACTTCTCAAGAAAATCTTCTATTGTTAACTAATGATAGATCTTTCATTGTAAACTATTTAAAGAAATCTTCTATTGAGAACTCATGATGAGTCTTTTAAGAACAAATATTTTCATCTAAATTTTAAAAGGTAATTTTTCATTGCAATAAAACAATTACTAGAGATTAATGAATTCAGGCCAAGGCATCGCTATGTACTGATACGCGGAGCCCATGCCTCAATTCTATTTGACAGTGCCTGAATTCCCAGTTGGTGTCTGGTAAAATCTGAATAGAAAACCATGATTGATATTATACTGAATCACAGAAAATTCCAGCACCTGAATCTGTTAAGAATCTAGTGACACCTCTGATCCCAGCAGAAGAAATATTTCCATTTTTTCCAATAACTATAAAAGGTTTTGCGTTTATTTTAGCCAGGCCAATTGAAAATCATTTTTACCCCCTTGTAAATTTCATTGACTGGCCTTGTAAGTTTTTTGATGATTTTTTGTTATAGATGTAATTTTCTTATTTTGCCACTTTGAATGCTTGCTTTCCCATCAATACTGATACAATGCAAGCATTCACAATCTTTATACAAATGTATACAGTTATATATATTGTCACATGGAACAGTCATTCATATACCATTTCACTGACACTCAACTATCCTAACTTAAACTCATTTATCATTGGTTGGATATTATGACAACTGGCCATTTGGAAAACATAGCACACTGGAAGACAGAGAGAAAATTATCCAGATTTGTCTAACATGCATTTTTATCTATGGATCATAAAGTCAATGATATACATTTGTACACCTACCCCTCTTTCACTCTTCAGTTTCAGATGGATCAATAGACCCTTTGGGATGGTCAAAAAGACCATATTCCACCAACCAGTAAAATATCCCTATACCTGTAAACAATCTACATTCGATCTTGTTTAAATGTAATTTTTGAGATTAAAAGTATAGTAATGAATTATTAATTACTGATTCAACTGCCTACAGGATATTGCTACTATGGTTTACGTCAAGTGGGGGTTTAATGTACACTGTTGCTTTGACTTAACACCGAGTTGTTTACTTTGTGCCAGTTGCTTTATTCAGAGAACTTTAACACATCTTGTCAAGTGTTTATTTAAAGTAATAAAATAAGAACATGTTGTCTAATTACATTACTATCTAATAAATTTGAAATGTTTTAATATTAGAAATAATGAAATGCTGTACAACTGACATACATATAATTCTCTGTTACTTTTAATTATAATCTTAATTTAAGAATTGTACACAAAATATACAGAAAGCTTTATCAGACTTGACAAAGAAACCATTTCATCCAATAAAAACAGTTTTAATAAACTTGAAACTGTACATTTCGAAGACTGAATAGCTCCTACAAACAAACGGAACACTGAAAAAATGTTGTGAATACATAAAACACAAAACACTGTAAACACTGGTAATTTCACTTATCCCCACCAATATTATTAAAACAATTTGTTTTCGTCAAAGTCCTTGGTTTACATGCCAAATGTGGGAGATTTTAAAACATAAAACAATGTACCATGTCTTTCATAAACTGAATTTAAATAAACTGGAAACCTTGCATTTTCTTATGTCTTGAACAAATCACCTGGATTAGAAATATTTACAGCTGATGGATCGAACGGTTGTCCTCTGAATGGAGAACCTTCTTTATCCCATGCTTCTTTCAGGATGTTTTCCATTTTCTACAATATTAAAAGTAAAATTTGTTCTTCATAAGCCTTTAAACAAAAGAAATATTCATGACATTTCTTTAGTAAAAAAAAGCAATAACACTAAAAAATAGCTTAATTGCAATGAAAAGAACTGGTGGCCAAGTGAAGACCAAAACTAGATATAAAATTGTGCAAGCAGTTATCTGTGACTGTCTGTTTACTTATTTTAGGCTGTTATCTGTAACTGTCTGTTTACTTATTTTTTAGGCTGTTATCTGTGACTGTCTATTTACTTATTTTTTGGCTGTTATTTGTGACTGTCTGTTTACTTATTTTTTAGGCTGTTATCTGCGACTGTCTGTTTACTTATTTTTTAGGCTGTTATCTGCGACTGTCTGTTTACTTATTTTTTAGGCTGTTATCTGTGACTGTCTGTTTACT